CTTTTTTTTACAAGAAAAACGTTTCTGGTAGGATCGAAATACAGTTTTAATTATTCAAATATGTCGCGCCCGTAGATATAGTCTTAAATGAAAATCATATATCATGAAAATGAAATGAAGAAAAGATGCTAAAGATATTATAAAAAAATAAAACTTTCGTTGAGCTGAAGATCGTTAAACCACAAAGAAACGGCCAAATTTACCAAAATAAAAAATCGTATGGAAAATCGTGATTAGTCATCTTGTTGTCGAGAGGAACAACAAAAATGTTGTTGTGTTGTTTTGTTACTTTTTTTTATTATGCATATTGTCAATACTGAAGACCAATTTATTATCTTCTGCTCGTATTAACAAAATATATTGAAAGCTATTACTTTGTTATACTCGAAATTAAGTAACACCAGTAAATTTCTTTTCAGAAATGTCACAAAATGAATGTAATTTTTATGAATGATAATTATTTGGTAATATACAGTGTGGCAAATTAAAGTTTGACTTAGCGGACTCATTTTATAACCTTGCGGCAACTCGATGCACATAGTCGTTCTCTTAAATCTATTAATATACTTGACTAGATTTACTTTATTATTAATATTTGAATGTTTGACATACCAGTATTATCAGTGTTGTGAAATATACGATAAAAGATATAGCATTCTTTCCAAAATATTTGTCAGTCGCATGAATTTAATNAAATATCGAAAATCTCATATCTGCAACAACTCTACTTTCACTGTAAATGTCTACATCTTCTATCCTTTTCTTTCTATTTTATGGCACGTCAACCCTGCAAGTAAAAGAACATTTCCATTGAAATAGAAAATATAGTTTCAGACTGCATAACGTCTTGTGCGTATGCAGTCCGGGTAGTAATTTCATGGTAGGATACACCGAACTAGCAAATCCAAAGAAATGTGGGCAGAATCCTTCAGTAAATCTGCCGTAAGGGAACAAGTGCATTTCGTTGTAACGGCATAGAAGCACAGAGCGAAAGACAAGGCATAATATTTCAAATTGAACAATTGAATAAGGTTCTTAACTCAGTTTAGAGTTGCCCGGGACTTGGAACTGGGGAGGAAATTGTTATTCTGTTTTCACTCTACTTTAGCATTATTGTCACAAAAAAATGTATTTGAATACTTTTCCGTTTTGGTGTAGTGAACAGGAGAAAACTAATCCCGAATAAATATAAAATGTGGACGATATAACGACTTGGAACTCCAAATATTAGTCGAGTCTAAACAACAGAATAATATGCAAACCTTCCACCGTACAATTTTTAGATTTCTGGTTTGATCTTTTAGCACTGTTGTCACGTCACGTTTGTTAAAAAGTTGACTGATTCATTCTATTATTACCACTAAGTACTTGAGACAGATACCATTAATAGTTTTTATCATATAGGAGTTAATTTGCTTAAGAATTTCGCGAGGCTGCCTAAAAGTGGATCCGAAATAAATTAACGAACGAGGACATTTGAATGAATAATTTCTTTTCTCAATGAAATGAACTTGACTTTAAATTTTGTTTATCGGGAAAAAGTGAATGGAGCCTTCTATTTATCTCATTATCACAATGTAGATACTTCTCGTTTTTACTTTCGCTTTTATTAAGAAATTATGCAGTAAATGGGTTTATTGCCTAGGGACCGTACTTTTTTTTACAAGAAAAACGTTTCTGGTAGGATCGAAATACAGTTTTAATTATTCAAATATGTCGCGCCCGTAGATATAGTCTTAAATGAAAATCTATATCACGAAAATGTAGACGCTAAAGATGTTATAAAAAATAAAACTCGTTGAGCCGAAGATAGTTAAAGTACAAAGAAACGGCCAAATTTACCAAAATAAAAAAACGTATGGAAAATCGTGATTAGTCACATTGTAGAAAAGAGAAACAAAAAAAATGTTCTCGGATTGTGTTAAAACTTTTGAATATTATGCATATTGTCAATACTGAAGACCAATTTATTATCTTCTGCTCGTATTAACAAAATATATTGAAAGCTATTACTTTGTTATACTCGAAATTAAGTAACACCAGTAAATTTCTTTTCAGAAACGTCACAAAATGAATGTAATTTTTATGAATGATAATTATTTGGTAATATACAGTGTGGCAAATTAAAGTTTGACTTAGCGGACTCATTTTATAACCTTGCGGCAACTCGATGCACATAGTCGTTCTCTTAAATCTATTAATATACTTGACTAGATTTACTTTATTATTAATATTTGAATGTTTGACATACCAGTATTATCAGTGTTGTGAAATATACGATAAAAGATATAGCATTCTTTCCAAAATATTTGTCAGTCGCATGAATTTAATAAACAACTTAAGTATTTTCCAATGCATTAACCAAAGTGACGTATAAAACGTGTTTTCTTTTTTTCTTCGAAAATATATGGTTATCTGCAATTATCATTCAAATCAACGGAATTTAATTGTTTCAAATTATAATACACTTCTTTATTATTGAAATTAAACCACAGAACTTTAAGAAAAAATCATTAGGGTGTCTTTCTAGTCTTTCTGACAATCCTTCAAATAAATTTAGGTAAAATATATGAATTTCATATTTTTTTTATTTTTATTTGTGGAAAATATTTTCATTTTCGAATTATAGCATCGGATGATATACTTGTAGTTTGTGGTAGTTTGCACATTAGAGCTAGTTTTGTATCAACAAGTACAATAATTGATTCTATGTTCTGATAGCCATAAACAAATTCCAACTTATAATTCATCAATAAGGTGAATTATTTATTATTTGCATATCGTTACATCGTAGATTTACATTTAAGTGACTAGCCACTATTATTGGCTGTTGTTGGTACTGCCAACTTAACAGCGTAATAAGACTTGACAGAATTATCAGTGTTATTGCAATGAAAGATCCTATTTCTGAAGGGTCCAATAAAAACATGATAATTATGCTATTAATATTAATTTATGTTTATACGGGGTGTCTCATAAAAAATGATACAAGCTATAACTTCTTAATTTTTTGTCCGAATTTAAGAAACAAAATATTGGTTTCTAAAATACGACAAGACAGACATCAATGTCTACGTTATTGACAGGTGATTGTCAATTTTTTTAAACGAAACAAAACAATTCTTCACTTTATTATGAAGAGATTTTTTTTTCTGAATCCGACGATATGTGACAATTCAATATGCAAAAATATTAATTTGAGGTTACTGCAACTTTGTCATTAAACTTCTACATTTTAATATTACGAAATTAACAAAAAAAAATTATCCAGTGCATAAGAAAATCAGATTACCTCGTTAGATTCAAGAAAAAAATCCCTATCGGATTAAATACAAAAATTGACAGTCACCTGCCGTAAAGGTAGCCTTGAAAAAGAAAAAGAAAACGACAGTGAGTGTCAGTTCGTTGTATTTCAGGAACCATTAATGCCAATCTTTTGTTTTTTGAATATCGAATCAAAAATAACAGTTATAATTTGTGATGGTTTATAAGCGACACCCGGCATAACATTTTCAAAAATGGTTGAAGAAGATGCTTTTTTAAAGTTTTGTGAACATTAGTTTTACATACATTTAATTGTCTTGTTATACTGGGGACACTTCATAATTTGCATGTGTGGAGTGATGAGAGTCCTAAAGAAATACGATAATAGTGACATTACCTGATAGTCAAAAACCAAAAATTTTTTATTTAACTTTCGTAGATCGTTTTTATTTATCGTCCTGAATATGCAATCAAACATTGTCGGTGAAATTTGCGGACACCCTGTATATCATTGGTGTTGTTTTATTTATTGGTATTACATGTATAAAAGTATTTACAGGAATCAAAGTAGAAAAAACAAATAAAAGTACATCGTGAAAAAAAATGGCATGCAATATGATGGCAATGTTGACTTACAATTACCTAATATTCTAAAATGTATGGTTGACAAAACTGTGAAGAAGTTCAATGAATTTTTATCTTCGTCAATTTTAATAATCTACATCAAACATTTTAAGATATTTTACAAAAACTTTATTTCGAAAACTAACCCAGTTAACACCTAATTTCATTCGATTCTTTGTCCTAGAATTGTATACAATCACTAATGTTCCCTCTTAATTTTTTCTCTGACTGCGCGGTACAAAAATATATGGTATAGTCAGTTGAACCTGTAACATAAAAAAGGCGAGCAATAAAATTTAATGAGTTTCATAGTAGTCTGCTAAAGGTAAAAAATTATAATAATTTGTATATGTATAGAAAATTCCTATTATATGTTCAATTGACCAACAACATATTTTAATTATTTGTCCTCAAACAATTTTATTATATTGATGGTAAATTTCGTTTTGTTCCGTTTCAAAAGTCTCCAAAATGCCATGTTGCAATAATATTAGTAAACAAAATATCCCTCATTTCTCCCTTTCGCAATTGTAATATGAATGATTGATAGAAGGTGCCTATAATAAAATAAAATTATTTGAATCATACCAAATTCCGCATTGCTGCACTGCACTGCCAGGCTTCTTGTCGACAACTGAAATTTATGACGAGCAGAGCAACAATGCGTAACACCGTTTGCCCGCACGTCCATTCTTCAACTGGGCGTATAGATTTCTACCACCTGGACGTTTAGATCGACCAGACCTGTATATGGGTATGGCTAAATAAATATGGGAACAAGTTTTTCAAATATTTCAATGCCGAGTTGCTGCATTTTTTCTAATTGCTTTAAATAATGATTTCTTGCAAAAATAAATACAAGTAAAATTCTTTGCCATACTATTTCATTTTATGGTAATATTTGAAACCACCCCACTCGACGAATGCCACAGCATCAGGTCAGAATAAATCTTAAACTCGTATATATATGAAAGAATTGCTTTCTATATACAATAATCAGCAAAATCTTGTACCTGACAGACAAAAGACTAACTCCTTTTGATCCCTCTTTCCATTTCCAACTTACATATCCGATTCGGAGCTAGATAAAAGTAACGATTTTTCTTTTCCAGCGGCCTGAACTTCCAGGACCTAATGGTGAGGCAGGGGGCCATCGATTCTCCACCCAAATGCCCCTTCATCCTAGGGTTCGAGTGCGCGGGGGAGATCGAACAGATAGGAGAAGGAGTAGAGGGATTCGCAGTAAGTAAATTGTATTATTTCTGAGCCTGTGAGCGTGTGGGAAGACGGATTTGGGGGGGGCCTAATTAACTCTGAAATACATGTAAACACACCGCTTAGAACCCTAACAAGTCCGGGAGGAATATTTTTCTTCGATGATTGATTAAACGGCCATTTGCATGGTATTTATAGAAACAAGTTTATCTCGGACATATAAACGAATCGAATTACTGCCACGTGCCATTTTTTTGTGCTGTAAACATGAAAAACAATTTAAATGAAGTGAAAAACATCTATGAGGACTACTAAGAAATAAGAAATTCATCGTCATGTTCAATATTGTATTAACTACCTCAAGGTGAAAAATATATGTATCTAACCCAATGTGGTCCTAAAATGCCTCCAGTTATATTTTTAGCATGTACAGGGTGTTTCGCATAGAGCAGGGGCATGTAGGTGAACCCAAAATATGGTGATTTAACGCAACTTATGTACCTTTATACTAAGCTGCATCACTGAGGAGTTATAGGCCTTGAAAGTGAGGTATCAAGGTTCGAAAAAAATCAATATCTCACTTGAACTTAGAAAAACCAAATTTGGTAATTATTTATGTCCTCAAACAATTTTATTATATTGATGGTAAATTTCGTATTGTTCCATTTCAAGAGGTCTCCAAAATGCCATGTAATAATATTATTTCTCCCTTTCGCAATTGTAATATCAATGATTAATAGAAGGTGCCTATAATAAATTAAAATTACCTGAATCACACCAAATTCCGCATTGCTGCACTGCACTGTTGGGCAATTTATCAACCACTTGTCAACTGCTGAGATTTATTGCCCAGTAGCCCAATGCAACTGTGTTTGTTTTTCTTTGCCGCGCTCGTATTCTTCAACTGGGCGTATACATTGCTACCACCTCCACATTTAGTTCGACCAGACCTGTATATGGGTATGGCTAAATAAATATGGGAACAAATTTTTCAAATATTTCAATGCCGAGGTGCTGCGTCAGCGACCGAACCTGGTACATACTGTCATCCTCTTGGTTCTTCAATTGATATCGGAAAGACTACACGGTGTGAGTATATCAAGTATCGACAGTAAGTAAAGTTCAATTGAAGCGTTTTAAAATGTTGGTAAAGGATGACGCACCATTAAAAATATAACGACATAATTTTTTAACTCGTTGGCGAATTAAAAAAATTATTACTTTATTTTATGAAGATTTTAATTCTAACCTTTTCTTACTCTTGTTTGTTTTCAGAAAACTGTCGTTTTCAACAAAAACACGAATAACTAATAATAGGTATTGTAGCTGTATTATTTAAAATAATCTAAAATTCAAAAGTTGGCTATGAATGAACTATGAACTAGCTATGATGAACTTCTTTGACGATAAGGAAAAAAGTTGGAATAAGAATAATTTAATTGAAAAACAAACAACTTTCAGAAACAACATACAATTTGCACTGATAAGTTATAGAAATTGTTCAAAATGATCATCACCGTTTTCTCTCGGGCATAAATTTATTCTTCCTCGAAAATTGAAGTCTACTCTATCCAATAATTGTTTCTAACTTAGCTTTTGAAGCCCCTATAACTTCTCAGCTTAGTATAAAGGTAAATTGTTTTAAATCACCAAAAAATAACATACGTTTTTATATAAACATGGTATACCTATAGGTACTACCAATCTGGAAATTTTGGAATTGTAAAGGAAAGTAGTATTGCAAAATTTAATAATTATCAGCATAACCGCCAAGAAAAAATATTCCTGTTCATTTCGATTTTATTTAGAAAACAATGAAAATCTTTGCCTTTAAAAATAAACTGCTACTCAGTTGGTACTTCTTCAAAAATGTTAAAAAAAAATAAACTAACTATGACAATGAAATGGATACAAAAAATTATATCAGGATAGTTTGAGAATCTCGAGTAGAACCACTCAAGTTATTTTAATCGGCCAAAGTTAATATTTACTTTTTTCAAAAATCAAGGGGATTAATTGCCAAAAGTCTAATAGCTTTTGCTTTAGTTAAAACACAACTTTATTAATATTGTAATGTTATATAATAATTTGACCAAATAAATAATAGTTGCAGATTTTATATTATTAAAATTGAATATGGCTAAAAATTCCACGATTTTCGAAAAATGTAATTTTAGCTGTAATGTTATTTAAATATTGGAAGAAAAGATTTAAAAAAATGTTCCCCATTTTGGTGCAAATTTGATGGCGGTCAATTTTAGGAATAATCATTCTGTTAAATATTTACGTGGCAGATATTCACAAATAATTTAGGAAATGGCGATGATTAAAAAATTGAAACTCGTGGAGTTTATTTATAATTTTCGCAAACTGAATACTTGGAAATATCAGCGAATTTTTTGATCACAGTTTAAAATATCCCCTGTATAAACCTTCCCTCGAAAACGGATAATAAAAGAAATATACTTCTTTAAAAATAATTTGTAAGAATGTAGCACTGCTGATAACAATTATTATTGATATATTGATATATTAAACATTCGTAATTCACTGGTTAGTAATATTAGCAAGACTTTCCCGATAAAAATGCATGACTAAAGCTGATACATTTCTAAGTAATACCATTTTCACTCGAATAAATAATTATTATTCATCATTTTATGGTTACTTTGTACAAACAAAATTATGATTATTATGCGACTTGTGCAACTTGTTTAAATATCATAAACTATAAACTTCATGAACCTTACTCAAACATTTCAAAAGTTCCAAAAATATAATTTTCTATAATATTGTATTTGAAGAATAAATTGAGTGAAAATAACTTTTTTTACTCCAAATGCGTTAAAGGACATTCTAAAATTTAACGTGTATGCTCGAGCACAACCACATAGTGCTGCCAATTTGCAGTTATTTTCTCCAGATCGAAAGATTTTTCGGGTAAAAGTTGCTAATTATATTTTACAATCCATGACAATTGATTGATTGCAATAATTAAAAAGTCCATTGTTTTGCTTTGTCCGACGTAAACTTTTCATTTACTGTTGGTCTGTCTTTACAGTTTCATTTAATCTTTTAAATAACACAAGAAATAATGCGTAGGTAACAAAATTTTACAGGTCACATAAACAAATTACGTTTAATAAGAAAAAAAAAACCGGTAAATTACTATTATTTGGTTGCGGGCGAACTAAACAGAGCCCAAACTGCATAGTAAATATGCACTACTCCCAATCTGTCTTTCACTGTTGTACTACAGTAACCATGACCACCGCTGTAAACACTACAGACTTAGGGGCGAGCTATGAGTAGCCGACGTATTCAGTGTTTATCAAATGAATTTCTGCAAGTCGATTTAAATTGACTGTACTTTACAAGTTTAACAGTTGCTGTTTAATGTGTTTCGTAAGGCTAATTTAATTATTTTTCGATATAACATTTAAATCTAAATTTTAAATTCATTTAGACCCTCCTCCACACCAGCCAACACTGGCTTATAGTATATTGGTAAAATAAAAATATTTTAATGCAAATGCAGATGGAGTCTCGCACGTTAGAGATGTTTTAAAATCTTATGAGCTTTGACCTTCATATGCGCAGAAACATAATTCCGACCGTCGCCTAAATTATTCTACGTCCTAAAAACATTACACCTATTATTCACAGTCTCTCTCGAGCACTAGCGTAAACAAGCCTTTGATCCGATTACAAATATCATAATAAAATGCCCTATTCTTTATTATTTTAATTTAAACAATAAAAATATATATAACGAACGTTCGCCAGTTGACTTTATGGATGCCCGAGCGCCTTAGTTCATGTCTACTTGTAATGATGCACGTGGTCTAGTTCTGAGTCAATGTTTTCACAACATGCTTATTAGAAGAATTATGGGGATATTCCACGCCTTTCGCGCATTTCGCGGCTCATGAGATATTAAAACACCTCTACTTCTGGTCGTAAATTTAAAGAATTTTCAGTATTCCTAGATTGTTCATTCAAAACCCCTTTTTTGGGAATTCATTATTCAGTGTCAAGTTCATTTAAATTTAAATAAAATTATTTTTATAATATAATGCAGGCGGGGTCGGGGAAATTTCCAGTAAACAAGTGAATCCATTGTTCTATCTGCCAATCAGTATCTCGCCTGTACTGTTATAATTCATAACAACGAAATCATAGCGTGCAAACTGATGACTGAAATGTAAATCTAATAAATTCTAGATCTATGGTTGCCACCGGCAAACTGCGGACACTAGGATTAGCTATCGCTCTAATTAAATCAATGTACTGTTTTGAACGCATATAAATTAGATTTGGAAGAGATTTAATTGCCTATGTTTATTCACAGTAATCGATACGTCGGAGTGCGTGCGCATTTTCTAGTAATATTGACAACTGGAATTATCCTGGTTATTGCCATTATTCGAACGGTGTGCTTTGACGAGGGTACAGTATTTTCACGAAGAAGATTAAACGATTCCTACCCTTTCACGAAGAAAGGGATTAAACACCCTTAAAGGATTGATTTTGCAACATTTGTCTGTGAAGTCTTGTCCCGAAGGCAGCATTTTTTTTAATCCATTTCCTTCACTGTTTGATATTCCTCTACTTTGTACCAATATTTTAAAATTTATTTAGTCATTATCAAGTATGAAATACTGTGCCATATTTAAAAACATAGAAAATCTGAATAACTTCAAATTAACTTTGTGTTCTAAAAATGGACACTACTCATACTTTGTCGAATAACAAAACAGGATGTGGAACATTGGATAAAAATTACACCAAATTAAAAGTTAATGTGGAGATTAAAAGTTCAGTCAAATCCAGTCGATTTGGAAGAAAAGATATTTGCATAAACTTAACAAAATACAGATAGTAGAATTTTTTTTAATATAAGACTCCAAACCTTTTATCTACAATCATCATCAAAAGCGACAATTTTTTATCATTTCCAATACAGAAAATTGGCTTTTATAAGTCTATGCAATAAAAATTTTTATTAAACACTTTTATTACATAAT